TATTTTCATTTGTAATTTTTATGCATAGTATTTTTATTTATGTTTGTTTTCATTTTTATTAATATGTATTAATTATACATCTTAACAGGGTCTAGTATGTTTTCATACATTCATAATATGTTGTACACTGATCAAATCTGACCTCTACCCTGCCACCCTTCCCAATCTCTTCCCACTATCTTTCAGATCATCTATTCTTAGCTTCCACAATGAGAAAGAACACAATTTTGTCTTTCTGTATCTGGTTTGTCATTTTACACACTATCCTCCAGTTCCATACATTTTGCTGCATATGACAGGATTCTTCTTGATGGCTGAATAATACTCCATTGTATTTACATTATACATTATATGTGTATATACATTATACATTGTGTATTTACACTGCCTATTCTTTACCCATCCCTTGGTGCATGGGTACCTAGACTGGTTCCTATATCTGAGCTGTTGGGAATGGAGCCACTGGAAATACCAGCATGTGGACACAGATTTTCTGTGCTGATGCCATTTCCTTTGGATGTAAGGAGGACAGCTGGAGCATATGTAGATCTACTTTTAGTTTTCTGAAGAGCCCCCACACTGTTCTCTACAATGGTGGTACAAATTTACATCACTGCCAACAGTATAGAAGAGTTCTTTTTTCTGCACACCCTTACCGTCATTTGTTATTTTTTTTTATAATAGCATTCTAACTGGAGTGAGATGGATCTCATTGTAGTTTTGATTTGTTTCCCTGCAGGCCAACCTGCATTGTGCCTTATTTTCCTTAAGTGTAAAATGAAGAATTGACTTAGATCACCCACAGGGTCCCTTCCAGATCTATAAATATAATTCTCAATGTATATGTTTTGTTACAAATTAGATACGAAGTATGTTATTATGTAACATACATAGTGGATACAAAGTATCTACTTTATAAGTACTTTGCAAGATACAAAGTAGTTATTATGAAAGGCTATAAATAATATTACTTTTATATAACTACTTTAGATTATATTTTTCTTCACTGTTTACTTTTCTAGGATCTGCAGTTACTATGAACATCAATAAGTAATCATTGTTATCATCATCACATTGACATTTTCTCAGGGTAAAACAGCCTTCACCCTCGATTACTCAGGGGATATGGAAAAGGCTCAGATACTGAGCGTATAGGCCAAAACCCAGTCATGGCGAAATCTCTCGTCTTGATCACTTTCCTCATCACTGAAACAAAATACCCAATACCCACAACTACAAGGAGGAGAGGCTTATTTCAGCTCACAGTTCCAGAAGTTTCAGTCCATGGTCAGCTGGCACAGAGGCAAAAACAGCAAGGTGGCAGGGCCTGGCTTACAGGAAGCTGCTCACGTCATGGCGGCCAGGAAGCACAGAGAGGAAGGAGGAGCTGGGTGAGAGATTTACCCTCCCCCCAGGGACCCACTTCCAACAGCACACTCAGCTGCTCAACTCACGGGACGATTCCACTGATGAGGACAGCGCCCCCTCGATCCAGTCACCTTCCACACCAGGCTTTGGGGACATTCTCAATCTAAGCTGTGACATCACTAGCTCCTGCCACTTTGCCCATCGACCCTCTGTCTGCCATCACTCATGCCATTTCTTCTCAAGGGTGGCTTCCAAGGAGCCTCCAGTCCACACCTGAGCTCCATCTCCTGCTCTTTCCTGGCTCCCTGGAACCCAGGCTCCACAACTCACTTCAAGCTGCCCAGCACAGTGTTCTGAATTAATCCCTATGGTTGTGCAATGCCTTCTAAATACCTATTATGCATCTGCTCCCATTTTGCTGTCAATTTCATGGGGGCTGGAATCAAATCGACTTTTTGTCCTTAGTCCTGTCAATGCTCAGCACGGTGCCTGAATCAGCATCCTGGTCAGGAAATGCTGCCAGGTGCCTGGTACAGGAAGATGGGGTGCAGACAGGAGCATGGGAAGAGGGTGAGACCAGTTGAGATAGTTAGAGACCAGATTCTGAGGCGGATTCCTGAGTGTCCCCAGCTCCCAGGAAATGGGCAGTAACAATCCCATCTGAGGTTCACTATTTCCTGGGAAGTGGTTCTGCAGCAGGATCCGAGAGGGGCTCAGACAGCTCTGCTCATACTCTAAGGCTTCAAGGAAACTAAAGCAGAAGCAACCAGAGGACAAGTTTTATCCTGTACTCCCAGATGCATAGAGCTTCACATTCCAGAAAAGGAGGGAGAAAGGGGTATTTACTTGAGTGCTTACACTTTGCCAGCCTCTGAAAAAATATTTTCAGCAGTGATATCGTTTAAAAATGTGGATAAACCATTTTCTCATCATCTCATGACATGTTAATGACGTAGAAGAATCTAGTAGAGAATCAGTAACAAAACAGCTGGGTGAAATGGAATTGTTCTCAAATGGAAAAGTAGAAGTTTACAGCAAATCCCCTGGGAAGTGGTATCATATAGTGTGAACATGTGACAACCAAAGAGTAAATGTTCCTGTTTGAATAGGGTGGATGGGCTGGTAGGCGGGTGAGCGTGTGCCTCAAGTGAGTCAAAGCAGGAATAAAATGAACAAATATCAACTCCCTCGCAGTTTTCACAAGGACCTGCCAGTTATCCAAATATTCATCTGTGCAAAAACAAACAGATACAGGCTGTGTACTCAGCCTGTTAACAGGACTGGGAGGTGGGCAGTGGGAGGAGGGGGTGGGAACAGGACTTCCACCTGGGAGTGGCCACCTGCCCCAAGCAGCAACTGGCCATAGATGGAGAGGGCTGAGCCCATTTGTTTTCAATCCTGTCTCCCTCTGGTTAGTTGAGACAGATATATTAAAAATCTGAGCTACAAAAGCTGAAAATAGCCTTGTTTCTCAAGCGGATGGTCAACAATTGCCTATCCCCCCAGATGTTTGCTATGAGTTCTTAGATTTCTCAGCATCTGGTCAGCTGAGTTCATTTAAAATCAAGCACGGCAAATTGTAAATAAATGAGTGCTGTATATGAATGCAAATATGCAAATATGTAATTACACAGTATGTTCATAATGTAGCAACATTTCCTAAAACATGGTAACAGCAAGCATGAGTACGTGGGGAAGGATATTCTTTCATTGTGCCAAAAAATGGGTTATCCTAACGGAGCATGGTTTAGTGACATAAGCTATACTATAAAATGAAACTTTAATAAAGGTTAGATCCTAAGAGCTCCCTCAGTAATTTTGAAATAAATAAGGGCCCTCCAGCTCCTATTCCCAACATTTCACCAGCAAGTCTTAGTCTAGCTTGTGGGTGTTTCCTAAACTATGTCCAGGGACTGTCAGAGAGCTTGGGGAGTTGCTGTTGCTATCAGCTTCCTCCTGGAACTGAAGTTGTTTTCAGGGGCGGGGGGGGGGCGGGGGGAGCACTAACAGTGATTCCTTAAAATCTATCCCATGGTGAACTTTACATGATAAATAAGACTGAGATACAGCAGAAGTAGTTTCCTTGGCAACCACGGCTCCAAAAGTAATTTTCAAACTTGGAAAGTGCTTCATGCATTTTATACTATAGATATTCAAGTGGCACAGGTAACAAAATCAAGAGTACAATGATGAAGGAAATACGGGAAGATTCAAGCCCCCAAATGTGCACAGATTAGTTAAAGTAGAGCAAACAGCGTAGAATAGCAGGTTACATTTTATAAAAAGCTGAGATAGGGAAGATATGAATTATTTAGCTTGGTTCCAGTCAATACAGCTAGAAATGAAATTCAGAAAAGAAAATTTAGGCTGTCAGGAGAAATATCACAAAGAGATCAAAGATGGGTTAGGAACATGGCTGCTCTTCTTTGCAAGGAGTCAGGCCGACCCAGTGCTGCAGTAGGATGGGGTGGCGGTAACATCAGGGGCCAATTTAGAGCAAGCCACACAGTTCCAAAGTGGGTTTGGAGTCTGACTTTTTCCTGATTCTATTAGTATTATTTGGGTCACGTGGTCCAGAATAATCCATTTTTATGGGAAATATAAAAAATGCAACTATGGAGTACTATTCAGCAATCAAAAATGAGAAATTAGAGACATTTATTGCTAAATGGATGCACATTGAGGCGATACTCTTAAGTGAAATAAATAGGACACATGTAAATACCGAATAGTTTCTCTAGTGTGAGAAACTGAAAGTGTAACTAAGGACTAAAAGGTATAATAGATAATGTGAAATAGGAAGAAAAGGGGCAAAGGGGAAGGGGAAGTGGGAGGGGTAGGAAAGCAGGGAATGGAATTAATATGAGAAAATGAAAAAATGGAAACAAAGTCTTTGTAAATAGGGAGGGATGGAGGGGTGGAAGGGAGGGCAGGGGAAGGGGAAAAAATAAGAACCAAGAGAGATTATGTAAAGGTGCATATCTCCAATGATGAATGTCATTATATTGTACACCTAAAATGTACCATAAAATCTTTTCCTATAAAAAAAATGCAACTATAACTGAATCCATAAGATCTCTCTCACAAGAGGGAGTGGATGATAAAGAGCGGGGCTTTTGTTCTGGTGGGAAGGCTGGGGCAGGCGTGAGCTCCTTGCAGTGAGTGGCCAGAGCTGACAACTGCAGCTTGGAAACCAGGGGGAAACCTGGGCAAGCCTCATATGCAAGGCAGTGCACCCGATTTCAGTGCACTTTAAAAACCACGACTTGTAGAGGTCCTGGCTCTAAGCGGGCCTGTACTTGGACCCCCATCAGCTTTGCTGCAGACCACACCTCGCTGTGGATCCCATGCCAATGCTGCCTGACCTGTTCTTCAGGATTTGGAGGATGCTTCCTTCTAGCTCAGAGCAGCGGAATCCCTGAGCTTCACCTGAGCTTATGGGTGTCTTATGAGTGACCTTGGGGTGCCAGGGACCCAATCTCCACCCGCAGGGCACGACGGAACCTGTGGGCCAGGAGGAGCCGAGAAGTTTCATGACGCATGCGCGGGCCCACACTAGCTCATGTTTCCTTCCCTCCAGCGCCTCTCCCTTGGCCACCACGATTCAACCCTGTCTCCTTTACAAAGCTCACCTCTTCTGTGGCTGCAGACAGTGCGGGGCCCGGTTTGGAGTGGGCATTTCGGCACATATCAGCGCCTCTGAGAGGGTCTCAGGGGTCACAGGCACCCACTGCTCCATCAGAGGGTCCCCGCGAGCCTGCGGCCCGCCATCTTCCCTCGTCGGACTCCGCTCTGTGCAAGCTGACCAATCAGAGGCCTCGGGAAAGGTCCTCCCCTTGTTTCCTTCCTTGGTTGGCTTGTTGGGTCCGTGCTTCAACAGGAAGAGGCCAGGCCAAGATTCAAAAATGGCTACGTGTGTCGCCTCTGCTCTGCATTATTTTTCTGCACTTTTAAGGCTTATTATTTGGTACCCAAGACCTTATTCCCAAAGACTAGTTTTATGCTTTTTGTCTTTTAAAAAATTTGTATTTTAATTGGTCCATGGTTGCAGTACGTAATGGTCACACACCTTGTGTGGAGTTGTTACGCGGACATAACACATCTTAATTGCTTTTTTATCCCCTCTCCCCCCCCCCCCCGCCATCTCTTGGTCCTCTTCCCATTTACAAAAGCTCTATCTCCTTGTTTCCTGACATCTCTTTTTTCTCTTATTCTTTAATTTATTTATGCTTTGGGCTTCTCATATAAGAGAAATCATGCTATATTTAACCTTCTGTGTTGATTTCTTTCACTTAGCATTATGATTTCAAAGTGCATCCATTTTCCTACAGATGACTCAAATTTATCCTTCTTTATGGTTGAATAGTACTCCATTGTGAGCAAATACCATATTTTCTTTATCCATTCATCTGTTGAACATAGAAGCCACAGCACAATATAGCTGTTATGAGTTCTGATGTTACAAAAATAGATGTGCATGAATCACTGTAATATGACATTTTTTTTTTTAATATGACATCTTTAACTCTTTCAGGAAGATATCTAGAAGAGTAGCTAGGTCAAATGGAATTTCTAGTTTTAGTTTTCTGAGGAATCTCCATGCTGTTTTCCATAGAGGCTGTACTAGCTTACATTCCCACCAACAATGTGTATAATGAAATGAGCCTCTCACTGCTCCTTACATTTTCTGTGCTTTCCTGTATTTGCATCTTGGCAGGTAGTAATCTCCTCCAGTTCATTTCCCTGTGTTAAACCCCAACTGTTCCTTAAGATTAAAGTGACATACTACTTCTCCATCTTAGTGTGTTTAATCCCATATTAGAGACATGTTTTTCTTTGTTATACTGTCAATATAGTATTTCTTGTTGTTTAACATCTATCACTGTTTACTTGGTTTAAACTATCTGTAACTCTTATTTCTGAAATTAGTCTTTATTAATAGTTTTATCCAGGTCTTACTTACTTTAGTTTCCCATTGAATATCCACAATGGAAGCGTTTTTGTTGAGTGACTTAATTAATGAATAAACACCAAATTCTCATTTCTGATGTCAGTTTGGACTCCCCCTCTTCATCCACATCATTGCAGAGGTGGTGTGGATAATACAAACATCCCAAATGGTACGTAAAAATATCAAAATACTTTCTGTTCCAAAAAGTCCACATTTCTTTCCCTTTGGGATAGGAAATATTAAGGTGGCCAAGGCATCGGAAGCTGTCAGAAAGTGATATCTGGTGGCCCCCCAAGGGCTTGTTCTGGGAAAGTGGATGGTAAAAGACCCTGATGGCAAAGACCCTCTCATTCTCAAATCTCCTTTAATGGAAAGTCAAGGCACCAAGGAAGTGATGAAAACAATAACAAGGCAATACTAACAATAACAGATATGTACTGTTTATTTTCTTACTTTACACCAGATACTGTTCTAATTTTGCATTTATTAATGCAAAATTCCCTAGATACTGAAAGTTAGTTATTATTATTCTATTAATTTGTCCAAATCACAGCAAACAATTTGAAGAGCAGTGCTTTGTGTTCAGGCATCTGACTCCCAAACTGTTGGTCTATTTAAAATTTGCTGAAGCTTTCAAGTGGAGACACAAAACTTATAATATCAACTCAACATTAAACCTCCTAAGGCACAAAGAGTCAATAAAAATACATTTTTCAGGGTTCTAGAATGTCTTCTGGACTCCTAGAAAGAATGGTTCTTGTTGATCCTGGAATTGCAAGTACTCTAGAACATCTAGAACTTGACAGTAATCCTGCATCTGGATCTAGGAAAATAACGTGAATTGACTCAGTCCCAAGGCAACCATCCTTCCATATTCTTTTTTTAAGGGTTTCTTTGATAGTAACATTTGGAGTTTCTCATTGGGGAATTTTCACAGAATAATGCAAAGTTAATGGAAGCACAAAAGACCCAGAATAGCAGGAGGATCCTGAACAAACAGAGGTGTCAAACTGGAGGTATCACCACACCTGACCTCAGATTATACTATGAAGCCAGAGTAACAAAAACGACATGGACCTGGCACAAAAACAGACATGCTGACCGGTGGAATAGGACAGAAGACACAGAAACAAACCCATTCACTTACAGCCATCTGAGTTTGATCAAGAGGCCAAAAGCACACTGGAGAAAAGACTAAAACCAGATTCTTACTCTACTTCTGTACTAAAATAAAATCAAAATAGATCAGATACCTAGATATAAGACAGGAAACTCTGCAAATGCTGGAAACACTCAAAGCCACAGGCACAGGCAAAAAGTTCCTGAATAGGACCCCAATACCACAAGAATAATAGCAGGAATCAACAAATGAGAATAAATGAAATTAAACAGCTTCTACACAGCAGAGTGAAGAGACAACCTATAAAATAGTAGAGGATTAATACCTAGAATATATAAAAGAACTCAAAAAACTTAACACCAATAAACTAAAAATAAGTAAATAAATAACCAAATAGCCCAATCAGTACACAGGCAAATGAACAGTTACTTCTCAAAAGCAGAAGTACAAAAGGCTACAAAGTATATGAAAAAATGCTTAAAATCATTAGCCACTCGATAAATGCAAATCAAAACTATATTGAAATTCCATCTCACTTCAGTCAGAATGGTTATCATCAAAAGCACAAAAAACAATGAGTGCTGGCAGGGATATGGGAAAAAACAGAACCTTTCTACACTGCTGAAGGGAATGTAAACTAGCACAGCCCCTGTGGGAATTGGTATGGAGGGTCTCAAAAAACTAAGAAAAGATATACTCTTTGATGAAACCATACCACTCCTTGGGACATGTCCAAAAGAATTACAGACAGCATGCTGCAGTGATATATGCACACCCATGTTTACAGCACTGTAATTCACAAGAGTTAAGCAGTGGAAGCTGACTAGATGCCCATTGGCAGGTAAATGAGTAAAGAAAATGTGGTATGTACATGAGTGCTACTCAGCCGTAAAGTAGCAAAACTGTGCCATTTTCAGTAAAATGAGTGGAGTGGATGGAACTGCAGGCCATAATGTTAAACTAAATAATCTAGTCTCAAAAGGTTAAATGTTGCATGTTTTCTCATTTCTCCCCTACCCATCACCTTTTCTTTTCTTCTCTCTTTTTAAAAGGCACTGGAGATTGAACCCAGACCCTTCACACTGAGCTACATCCCCAGCTCTTCTTTTTTAATTTTGAGACAGGGTCTCACTAAGTTGCCCACATTGGACTAAACTTGTAATCCCTGTTCTTCAGTCTCCTAGGGCCTAGGATTACAGGTGTGCTGCCACACCTGGTTATGTACTCTCTTATATAAGCAAGGAGACATGACAGGAAACCAGAAGGTGAAGCATAAGTGATAAGGAAAAAAAAGAGGGAGCTAGTGGGAATGAAAATAATCAACATGTGTTAAATGCACGTACCAGTATACCAAAATGAATCTCATTTTTCTGTATCACTAATATACACCAGTAAAAATAAATAGCTGGACTTCATTAAATTTTAAAATGGTTCAAATCCAGAACCGAAGCATTCCAAAATGCTGGCAAGGCATGAACTTCCATTCATTGCTGGTAGGAATATAAAATGGTACCACCATGTTGGAAAACAGCTGCACCGCCCCCTTTTTAATTTTACTTAACATAGTCTTCCTGTAAGATGTGACAATTACACTCCATGGAACATACTCAAAAGGGATGAAAACTCAAGTCCACACAAAACCTGCACATGAATTTTATATCAATTTAAAATTGCCAAAACCTGAAAGCAACCAAGATATCCTTCAATAGTGAATAGGTAAATAAACTGTGGTATTCTAGATGATGGGATATTATTCAATACTGAAAGAAATGAGCTATCAAGTCCTAAAAATATATGGAGCAAACTCAAATTTATATAACTAAGTGAAAGAAACCATTTTGAAAATATTCCATACAAGCATGGTCCCAAGTCTGTGACTCTTGAAAAGGCAAAACTATGGATACAGTGCAAGAGCAGTCATTGCCATAGGTAGAAGGGATGAGTAGGTACAAACAGGAGATGTTTAGGGCAATAAACGGTTCTTCTATAAAGCTGGGTGTGGTGTGCATACCTGTAATCCAGCTACTCAGAAGGTTTGGGGCCAGGTTGAGAACTTATAGACCCTGTCTCAAATAATAAAATAAAATAAAGGGGCAGGAGTTGTAGCTCAGTGGTGAAGTGCTTCCCTATCATGAGTAGTACACTGGGTTCAAGCCCCAGGACTTCCAAAAAAATCCTGCATGATACTGTGATGATAGCTACACGTCGTTACACATTTGCTTAGGTCCCGAGACCATACAACACTGAGAGTGAGTGCCAGTGTGATCCACAGATTTGAGTGATAACAATGTATCAATGTAAGTTCATCATGTAAAATAAATATACTCCTCTACTGGGTGATGCTGATGAGACAAAAAAGCCAAAAGGGTTTAAGGTTCAATACTTTTCCTACACATTCTTTGCTTCACAGATTAGGCAGCTGAAGAGCATAGGAACCTGCCACAGATGTAACTTGGGTCAGGATTATGCTCTGTTTACAGGGATGTGTGGTGAGAAAACACATTTAAACTTCAAGGGAGTCTCACTGCCATTCTTACTCTTTTAACAGATATTCTCTGAGCACCAGCTCTATTGGGTGCTGAACTGGCTTCTGGAGTGCAATAAAAACAAATGTGTAAAAGTGCTGTACAAACGGGAGCTATCAGGCTGAAGAGAGAGACGTTGAAGTTCCTCATGAGCCCCAGTGCAGTGTGGAGAGAGCTGCATATA